TACAAAAATAAAATTAACACAAATATAAAACACTAAAAATATATTTACAAACATTTTTTAAAATAAAATAAATTAGAAATATTATTTAAATAAATCTAAAACTTTACAGTTAATGAAAAAAACTGAAATTAAAAAATAAATATAATTTAAAATAGAAAAAAAGAACTACAGTATATACATGAATACAATTATTAAACAAAAAATAAAAAATAAAAACAAAATAAAAATTACAGAATTATTGTGAAAACTGATTTTTTTTATAACAAAAACAACAATATATCAGTGATAATAAAATAAATTGATTTCACATTGACTGTTAATCATCTCTCAAGCATGATGCAAATGATCGACCTGAGAAAAATGGTTTAGAAGTCAATAAAACATTTTCATATTGCATTATGTAAGTAATAAAGTATGAGATAAACCGCAGTGCTTATCTTTTAGGAATCCAGAGGAAATCCTTCATGAACCCAACCCACAGGAAAACACTACAACTAGTAGCTTTAGGCATGGGACGATAAGCTTTACCTTGTTATAAAAAAGCCAAGGTTTTAAAGCTGTTCAAATTTTCTGTTATACTTTTCCAAGGGTATATGCAAAGTTTATTTTAAAACGTGTTTTTACAACTATTTTATTTCGGTTTTTAGGAGAACAGTACAGAAAAATCCACAATATATTGCTTAAGAGTAATAATATTTAAATAAAAAAAAAAGAGAACTGCTTTTATTTTAGCCAAAACAAAACAAAAAGACTTTCTCCAGAAGAACAAATATTATAGGAAATAAAGCGGAAAAAATCCTCGCTCTGTTCAACATCATTTAGAAAATAATTAAAAAAGAAAAAAAAATCTGACTTCAGCTTTATCATTCAGCTCTAGATCCCAGTGTAGCTGCCATTACGCCCAGTCTTTGCCACTATATCTGTGTTTTTGATGAATTAGAGCAGTGGTCACCAAACTTGTTCCTGGAGGTCCGGTGTCCTGCAGATTTTAGCTCCAACCCTAATCAAACACACCTGAACAAGCTAATCAAGTTCTTGCAAGGTATACTTAAAACATCCAGGCAGGTGTGTTGAGGCAAGTTGGAGCTAAACCCTGCAGGGACACCGGCCCTCCAGGACCAGGATTGGTGACCCCTGAATTAGAGAGTGTTTAGTTTGTGTCTCACCGCCCTCAGTGGTGTTACTCTGCACCCATGCGCTGGGTGGCGACGGGCCGATCTCATTGCTGCAGGACACACTCATGTTGTACCAGGTCATGGCCTTCAGGTTGTTGATCTCATACTGGAAGGGAGGCACTGCGGTGCTGTGAGCAGCTGTAGGGCTGCCTGCACCCTGGAGCTCTCTGACCTACAATACATCAGAGTTTATAGCAAAAATTCTATCAAAGCAGCTTATTTATATGGTGCTTTTCACAATGATTATAGTTCCAAAGCAGCTTTACAAAAAGCCAAAAAAATGTTGATCATCAGTTTTAGTTGTGCTTTTTTTGACCAAGCGATTAGGTTAAAATGTGATTTAATGTATATTTTATTATAGCTTTTAATCATGTGTGCTGTGCCACATTTATGTTTCAATATTGTTTTTAGCATATTTCTTTGGAGTTTCAATTATCACTATTATTGTTTTTAAGATCTCAAAACTCTTCTGGTAGTACCTAGAATAGCAAAGTCGAGTAAAGGAGGTCGAGCCTTCTCCTTTATGGCTCCTACACTCTGGAATAGCCTTCCTGATAACATCCGAGGCTCAGACACACTCTCTCAGTTCAAAACTAGATTAAAGACCTATCTGTTTAGTAAAGCATACACTCAATGCATCACTTAGCGGGTTTCCACACAAATTTCTACATCTTGTTTATATCCACTATGAACAGCAGCTACGCTAATTATTCTCTTTATTCTCTATTTCCACCTGGGGATACTCATCCCGAGGTCCTCAGATTATGTGGAGTCACTGATTGGATCTAAGACCAGCGAAGAGATGATCCCAAGGTGTCCATATCCTGGACCAGGCCATATCCTGAGCTGCTGCTGCTGCGCTGTTGGTCACGGGGGAGTGGAGAACATGAGTCTGATTCCAGTGACGCTCCAGAGACAGACAAGTCTTCGCTGAGGCCAGCTTCCAGCCTCCACTGCTGAGACAGCAGCTCTGCACAAGACTTTTGGCCAGCGGAGAAATTAAAATGGTCGTGCCGAACTGAGTCTGGTTCTCTCAAGGATTTTTTTCTTCACTCTCCTATTGATGAAGTTTTTTTCCCCTTTCCGCTGTCGCCACTGGCTTGCATGGTTCAGGATCTGTGGAGCTATGCATCGATGAATTTGCTCTTCAGTGTTTGAACTCTCAGTAATGATTTAAATCACACTGAACTGAGCTAAACTGAACTGAACTTAAACACTAAAAACTGAACTACACTGTTCCAGTTACTATGACCATTTATGTGAAGCTGCTTTGACACAATCTACATTGTAAAAGCGCTATGCAAATAAAGCTGAATTGAATTGAATTGAATATTAATAACCATGTTAACCATTTTAACTATGACTTTTAGCTCAATAAACAACTATTTTATTAATCTGGATAAAAAGTTCCTTTGGTTTTTAATTTAGTAGTTCAAATTAAAACAAAAATACAAACTGCGAAAATTAAAAAAAAAAAAAAGTGTTTATTATGCTTAATATCCTTTACAATAAGGTCCCATTATTTAGTGTACAGTTTTAGTTCTCATTCTAGTTCACATTCTCAGTTCTTGTTTAGTTCTTATTCTCCTTAAAGTGCATTAACTAATGTGAGGATTTCAATAGTGCATTAGTAAATGTTGAACTAGGGTTAATGGTTCTTGTCATGCCGAGTTCAGCCTGCATGATTTTTGCCCAGATTTTGACTCGCCGACAGGTTTTAGAGAAATCGCTGGCAAATGCCTGAAATCACAGGCAAATTGGTGCTCGTGCACGTGAGTGACAATCACACAATATGAACTATCAAAGACGCAATCTGAGAAAATCTCTAATGAGTCGCTGATGTCCAAGAGATATTTGGCGTGCTAAATATCTGGAGCTGTCTGCGATTCAAATCATGCCGTGTGAAATGAGTTTCAGCGGGAGGTTGAGGGAAAAGTTAAAAGCGCTCATTTTCGGTTTATTTGGACCCAAGAAATGGAGGAAAAACTAGTGGAGATTTGACAGGAGCACCCATGTCTATTTGACGTTTCATACAGAAAGTTAAAAAAAGAAAGTTCCCCCTCTGATGACAAAGGGAGAATGTCAGTCAAAGTGTTTCTGCAGACTGTTTTTATCAACTGTGATTATAAAAAATAAAATTTAAACATTTTTATTATTAGAAGCAACACATGCTGCTGCCACAAAACTGGGTTTAAACCCCTTATAAAAGTGATTTTTGCATAATAGATCCCTTTTAAAACTTTTCTTTTAAGGTTTGAGGTTTAAACAATACCTCTACTAACAAAACTTCTAAACAACAACAAAAAAAAAAATCTTTCGGAGCTGAGCAAAACACTATGCTCCTTTTATCATATAATGCTGATTCTGGTGTGCTTTTACCGCGATGTAGCAGATGCTGAGAGGAGAGAAGCCGTCGTGTCCTGGAGTCCAGCTTAACAAGAGTTTATTCGCCTCTCGCTTCACCACTGTGACCTTTGACACTTTCTCTGGAAGCTCTGAAAACAAGGAGAAGGAATGTGAAACTACAGTCTAAGAGGTTTGATGGAAAATTTTAAAGCACAAAAGAATTTCAGTGTTAATTCTTGGACTATTTTGTGTTTGTTACTCAGACTATTACAAAATATACATAAATATTTCATTGAACTTATGGTTAAGCATAGCATGAAAAACATAGACTTTTAAATAAAGAAAATAATTTAATAACAATAGATCATTAATTCAATAATTGATAAAATTAAATTAAAAAAATTAATAAATACATATTAATTATATATAAAAAATAAGTATAAAAATAAATAAATAAAATCAAAACAAGAAAAACATTTAAAATAAAATATTTAATAAATATAAAGTAAATATAAAAAATTAATAAATAAAACAAAAATAAACAAATAAAATAAATCCAAAAAAAAACAAAATAATTTAGAAATTATAAATAAATATAAAATAAATATAAGTATATAAGTATAAAATAAATATAAAAATTAAAATTAATAAATAAAATAAAATAAAAATAAAAGAATAAAAGTAAATAGAAAAATACAAATAAAATAAAAAAATAATGAATTAGTAATTAAATAATTAATAAAACTATATATTTAAAAAATAAATAGAAAATTAAATAAAATAATTAAATATAAAAATAAATAAAATAATATTACATTAGAAATTAAATAATGAATTAAATTATATAAAAAAATAATAATAAATATAAAACTAAATAATAAATTAATATAAAAATAAATATATATATAAATTAAATGTAAATAAATAAAATAATAAATAAATGTAAAATAAATATGAAAATAAATAAAAAACAAAAAATAATTAAAATAAAATATAAAATAAATACAACAATAAATATAAAAACAAAAAAAATAAAACAATAAAATATTGTTACAATATTTAATGAAACAAACTCTTAGGCCTTTGCCTTTTATATTGATGTGAGCTTCTCTGGACGCAGTCAGGCCTTTCTCATTGTGAGCTTCACAGCTGAACTGAGTGGGTGCATCAACACCTGCAGAGCAGAAAAATAAAACACTTTTTAACTTCAGTTTGCACAAACTAAAACCTTTATCAGTTTTTTGCCCTCCTGGAAAAACACTGACGCTCCGGAGTTTTCAAAACTAATTCAAAAATAATTCTGACTTCAACTCAAATATGCACTGTAAGGCCAAACGCATGCAGGATTGTGTAACTTTCACCGCCAGCGTGTGGCACAGTACGAGTCTTTCAGTGCCACTCCATGCCAACACTCCAGTCCCACTCGGACACCAGCACAACCATAATATCCCTTTTGTGCGAGTGCATTTCTGCTCATGCTCAGAGACGCACACACTGGGGCTGAAAGGAAACTATTTGTTTGCTGGTGTGCATGCTTTTAGTATCTCCAACTGTCAGCAGACTAAAACACCACACCGGCTGAAAAATGTGGGGAAAAAAGACACATTTCAATAAGAGCTGGTAATATTCAGTACGCAGCAGGAATGATTATGCACTGCAAAAGTATTAGTTGATTCATATGTTCAGTATTTTGGGATACACAGTTGTTTTTGCATTTATTTAGGGTGGCCAAAACAGAAAGAACTCCTTTTCATAAATCAAATAGACAAAATTTGGGCCATCTATATATAAGAAAGCAACAAAAAGAAACAGATTATAAGTATGTCTGTGTGTCAGGAAGAATACGCTAGATTTCTGACAGCCTGTAATTATTGGGTTTGGAGATTAGCCATGGGAGCAGTCTCTGCATTTACATCTGAAATCACTCTGGGATGAGGTTTACAACAACATTACCAAAAGAGTAGCAGAAAGAGCAATGCTTATTACACTAATGTACCAAGGTAATACCAACATTTTCTTTAAAAACCTTAAAGGGGAGCTATTATGCCCCATTTTACAAGATGTAATATGAGCCTCTGATGTCCCTAGAGTGTGTATGTGGAGTTTCAGCTGAAATTACCACACATGTAGGGCTCTATTTTGACGGTCCATGCGCAAAGTGCAAAGCGCAGGGTGCAAACGCATTCAGGGCGTGTCAGAATCCACTTTTGCTAATATAAGGACGGAAAAATCCGCTTTTTGGTCTAAAACTGTTGAGCTTATTCTCTTAATGAGTTATAGGTGTGTTTTGAGAATAATCCAATCTTATCTCCAGTCTCATCTCCCATTCCCCTTAAGAGTCAGTTGCGTTGCGCCATGGTGCATTTGCTATTTACATGACGTAAAGTAAGTGTAAATGGAAAAACTGAGCCTTTGACTAGCAAGAAAACAGTTAAAAAGAGCATCTGCATCTATATTTGTTTCAAAACTATTTCTAAATTCAGTTCTAATTTCCAGCAAACAAATAAATGAACAATAATAACGAAGTGTGCTCAAAGACTGAGTTATATCCTAAAACACATGCTGTGCCCCATATGGTCTAAAACCTGACAGGTGGGCAAATCTAAGCTTGTTTTTAATAAAACAAATATAAATATGCATATAAAAATAATACTGCTAATAATAATAACATTATACAAAAGCAAATTGTTATGAATGAACTGAAAAAGCCTTCCGAGAAGAAAAAGGCATGAAGGCAGTGTTTATTATATTTATGTAGGCTAGAAAATAATATGTTTTGTAATATTTTAATCCTTTATATTTATATCCTATATATAAAAGCTCAAAATAGCAACACGAAAGCAATACACCTCAACATGCCTCCCCTTTTTTTGAGAGCGAATGCATTTGCTATTTAAACAGTGTGCTGCAAAACGCCAAGCTGAAACTAGCAGACAACAATTGTGTCGCGCCTTGTGCCACATTGCGCCAGATGATAGGGCCCGTAATGTTTTATAACTCATATATATATATATATATATATATATATATATACACACACACACACACACACACACACACACACACACACACACACACAAACACACACAAACACACACACACACACACACACAAACGCACGCACGCACGCACGCACACACACACACACACACACACACACATACAGTATATATACATAAATTTTTTTTTAAAGAAATTGCAATTTGAGATTTTTAATTTAGCACCTGGGGTGCGGTTCCCACACAACAACATAACTCGTGGCTGAAATGTCATAGTACGATGCACCATTTGGGAATGGGAACGATGTAGTGACGAGTGTTTCCCAAAGCTGTAGTTGCTCTGTCATTTGAACCACGTTAGTTGTAACGTAAACCACCTATAATGATGCTCTAAACGGGGTGGAGTAACTACTTTTTTAGAGAAAAAAAAAAAACATAATTTCTGGTTGCAAATTTTATTGTTTTAAACACACAGGCATTTAAAAAATAATAATTTGCTTTGGTAAAAACATGCACTCTCTTTCCATATTAATTAAACTGTATGTAAACGGCAAATATGGGGTCTGTGTTTCCTTTACAAATATTAATGAGAATATTCCAAAACATAAAACCATTTAGCTAACAGGTATTGTAATCTCATATATAAATTATATAAATCATATAAATCGTTAATGGTTGTAATTTTCAGTAGGGCATGTATTAAGAAGCTAGCTCTCTAGCTAGCTCTCTGCAACTCTCACATGGTCGCCCACTGAAGCTAAGCAGGGCTGCGCCCGGTCAGTACCTGGATGGGAGACCACATGGGAAAGCTAGGTTGCTGCCGGAAGTGGTGTTAGTGAGGCCAGCAGGGGGCGCCCAACCTGCGGTCTGTGTGGGTCCTAATGCCCCAGTATAGTGACGGGGACGCTATACTGCTCAGTGAGCGCCGTCTTTCGGATGAGACGCTAAACCGAGGTCCCGACTCTCTGTGGTCGTTAAAAATCCCAGGATGTTCTTCGAAAAAGAGTAGGGGTTTAACCCCGGCATCTTGGCCAAATCTGCCCACTGGCCTTTGTCCATCATGGCCTCCTTACCATCCCCATATTCAATTGGCTGCATCACTGTCTCCTCTCCACCAATCAGCTGGTGTGTGGTGTGCGGTCTGGCGCAAAATGGCTGCCGTCGCGTCATCCAGGTGGATGCTGCACACTGGTGGTGGATGAGGAGATCCCCCCCCACTGTGTAAAGCGCTTTGAGTGCCCAGAAAAGCGCTATATAAATGTAAGGAATTATTATTATTATTATTATAAGAAATGAAGAAAAATCCTACTTAAAAAAATTATTAGAAGTAGAAACTAAAGTAAACTTAAAGTAGAACTAGTATTCTCATTATAAACTTTTTATTTTTATTAATATTATTATTATTACTATTATAAAGTATGATATTGTTTATTTATTTACTTTTTAAAAAATCTACTTTTCCAACTTTGACACATTTAAACCACTGCAAAAAAATTTCTTACCAACAGGGCCATGTCATATACAGTACAGTACATTTCTTTTAAAAATATTAACGTATGCTATATATTTTGTGTTCACAAGCTTTGGAGACATAATGTAAATTCTGCTATTAAATTATAGGTCACCTACATAGGTCATGAGCATGGCTGCATTCAAAATGGCATAAATGTTTTCAAAGTGCACTATGAAGGGAACGCAATTGTCAAAACGAAGATTGGTAAAAATGAACTGTTCTAGAATACTTTGAAAGCAAATTACACCTAAGAAAGGTGACCTTGAGCTTTTTTTTTATTATTCTAAGTTTAAATGTTGGAATGTTCAAAAGGAATAGGGCATAGGGAGGATAACAAGAAATAGAACACAACCAGAAACCATGTTTCTAACTACAGCTCCAGAGGTGTAGTTGTAAGCGTACAAGTTTGTGGCTTAGTTTGAGTATGTTCGTTGGAATGATGGATTTGGAAAACGCCAAATTAAGACGATGTTCGTAACAATGGAACTTGCGACATTAGTTGGCTAACGATGGTTTTTAGAAATGCACCCCTACCCAATCAGCAGTAACTGAAAGAAAGAAATGCAACTTCTTTATTTTAAATCAGTTGAGTCAGTATTAAGTGTCAACAACTGCTTACAATCAGATCGAAACATAAATGGAAACATATTTGCTGTAGAAGCTGTGTTGTGGGTTAAATGAACTCAGCATTCATGTGCACTTTTTTTAAACGTGAGCCGTAATTACTGGCTATAGTCCCTAAGATGGGAAACTTCATTTCCAGTTCTGACTAGTTCCCTTTTAATGGAAACACACATCACAGTGTCCAGAGAATGAAAGAGAAAGAAAGTGTCTGTGTGTGCATTACGTAACGCATCCATTGTGTGGAGACGGACAGTGAGGCTGAGCTCAACATGGAAAATCAGAGGCTTCTGTGTTCACATTGTTTGAAACTCGTTCAGTAAGAAGTGGACTTTAAAGAAGAAATGCATGGGCCAAAGTGTGATTTTAATGCCGTCTTTTGGTTTAATATAAATATTAAAATAATAAATACGCTTCACAGATCATGTAAACAGACATCACCTTTATGGAAGGACACTATATAACTTCAGGTTAAGTACAGTGAGGAAAATAAGTAACACATCACCAGAAAACATATGTATACAGGTGCTGTTGACTTGAAATTTTTCCTGGATGTTGGTAACAACCAAATAAATCCATATATACAAACAAAAAACTCTAATTAGTTTACAAGTGAAGTTATGTGTAATAAAATGAAATGACACATTCATTGAACACATGAAGAAAGGAAGGTGTAGAAAGCAGACATGTAAAAAGTACTAGAAAAGTACTAGAGAAAATGCTCTCTAAGCACCATACCTAACTGTAAGTGGATGTACTAAAGTATGCAACATTTTTTGTTCTTTAAGTATTGCAAGTAGTTTATTTAAAAAATTACTAAAGTACTGAAAGTAAAAGTACAAGTATTGTGTAATGTAGTTATTAAAGAAAGCAGTCAGAAGACATCATATTGGTTTGTTTATGTTTAATATTTTTTTGGGACACGTGATTAAGCAGAACGAAAAGAAACATGGCTTACGATTTATATGAATGAGGATACTGTTTTTCTCTCGCGCTTGAACCACAGATCTGACAGATTATAACAGCTTCAACACACACCTT